ACAGAATAGCATTAAATGAAATAACTTATTCTCCACTTTATTGTATGATATTCAAGTAATCACTAAAAAAATCTTTGTATAAAAACTAGCTAGAAAGGAAACTTCAAGGTGTTCTTCTTTTTCTCGTTGTGGAGACTGAATGTGTAACAAACAAAAAACGAAATTTTACGTTTTTTTATCATGAACAATGTTTATTCATTAAAGATTGTTTACTGGTTAAGTTAATTACTACCTGCGGCCAGAATTTTCTCAATGTTAAATTGTTCATATTGTTATAAATGTAATAACGTTTTAGTGCGTTTATATCGGCCAGTCGTTTCTTAGATCAGTTCCAACGGGAGAAAGGGGCAAAAAGGGCCCTTCTCACCGTTAGGGGATGCGCCCCGGGACCAGGTGGCTCCGATGATAATTATATCAGAATTAGAGGGCTCGGCATATGCCTATGAGACAAGTGCACCGTTACACCTGTTGGAAAAACGTTACACCTTACACGAAACGGATGGCCGAGGATGGTTCTTAGAGCCAGGGACCGGAACGCGAACGCCCATACAGCTTAACGAATTCTATACGCCCAGCAGTGCGTCAAACTAGTGATTTAATCGCAAACTCTCTTTCAATTGATTTAACCGTCAATTAACGCCGGTTAAATGTGCTAATTTTAATTGTTTAACCTACACATTAATCAAAACTCCAATCACTACGAAAATTCTTTGAATAAAATGTTAATAAAGAACGTTTGTTTTGTTTGTTGCTACATTCTTTGTCCACGTAAAACTCTTTAATTATTTCATCACATCCGTAACTGTGACTATTGTTAAAATAATTATCGCTAAGTCACACATAAAAAATATATAGAAAAATTAACAGGGAATGACTCATCTTAATTACACATCTCCCAGAAAGATTATGATTTTCTTTAACCTGGCAACGAATGTATGACAAAACCCAAAGTTCAGTAAAAATTTCTATGATCGAGATAGTCAGGTCTGAATTTTATCAAAATGATCTTTCCTCACGTCCAAAGGGGAATTGAATAGTTATAGAGAACCTCAAAAACCTTAAGTGTAATTAATTTTTTTTCCAAATTTACTCTAATAATTTATCGTACGGGGATTGTTTAATAATAAAAAAAAATCGCTCAAGTTGCTACAGAAATAGTATCAAACAATGTAATAATTCCAAACAAGAATAAGACCCCCAATCTCCGGACTTGACATGGCCTAATGTTGTCTTACAGCAAGACGAACTTTACTAATTTTGTTAAAGGGTTAGGAGAAAATCCGGTTAGTTTAGTGATGGGGTATTTAGATTAGCGTCAAATAAATCAGTGTTGCCAATACACGAGCAGAAACAAAGCAGGAACATCACTCTTCCCGCCCTAAACTCGCGTGAGTTTTTCCTTCCCTTAAACAAAATTGTTGTTGGCATGCTTGGAAGCAACGTTGGGCAGAAAAGGTTAAATTATAATCTGCATATGAAAAATTTTATGTTTGGCAAGTATAACAATCAATACAAGATGCAGGTGGAGAGCCATGTTGGAGACAGGAGGTTCTAAGATGTAAATTTTAGATTGGCGCCAAAAAATTCAGTGTTGCCAATACACGGGGCGAAACATGGAAGGAAATGCATAAAGATTTAGCAAATCTGTTGCCCTGAAGCAAAGTTGAGCAAGAAAGGATTTACCACCTCGATCCCGTCTGATGACGCTAAAATGTATTTAAAAAAATTAAAAAGAGACTGGCAGCGTAGATGGCTCGGATCAGCAGCGTGTCAAGAGCACTGCCGATAGGTGGCCCTCGGGGGACCAGATTCTTAGAAAAAGGGGCATCTTCAACCGTTTAATAATAGGCCATGCGAGGTAGACTTGCAGACACTTGTTGACTTGTGTAGCTCGTGGCCTTATCGGAAGGTTTGTTTCTCGAGGTGAGAGACAACGCATTTTCGCTTTCGAGTGAGTGGACTTGTTCCAAGCATAAGTGTCTACCTAAGTAAAGCGTGTAACTCAATGGCTCCGTATAGAGAGCCTGTAGGAATACCAACCGATATGAGTATCATGTTTGAGCACGGCTTCTTGGAGGAAACAGGGTTGCTTTATTGTATTTAGTGCCGATTTTGTTGTATACTAGTGTGTGTTGAGAGTGAATGTATTTGTTGGCGTGAATGTTTAGCGTGAAAAGGTTGGGATATCGATTACCGATCGGTTCTCGATTAGGTTGGTTATATAATGGTAAAGGGTGATGGATGAATATCGAGTATTCCACCACCCTGAGTGAATGGTATGTAAAACAGAAAGAATGTATTTAAGTGAGAGCGAGAGTGTGAATGGGTGACTGATTACGTTAGAGGCTGTTTTCAGCCCCCGGAGCCCAATCTCCGTGGTCGGATGGATAAAACCGAGGTCTGACCCCGGACTGCCAATCCCCGGGTAGGTTGATGCTCGAGGCCTACAGGTAATTTACTTACTTAAAATATAAGCCTGGAATGCCGTGAACTACGAGAAGTGATATTCTCAACTTTTTACACTTGCGTAAAAATGCCGTGATTTGAGCTTATATAAAATCAATAATCAGTAATAAGATCATAAAAATAGTTATAAAAATGAAATTATATATAGAAAAATTGGAAATCTATAAAGCATTTGTTTCTAATTTCAAATTTGCAATAATTTCATAAATAGTACATAATAATGATTAATGGCTGGCAGCTGGAACAGTATATGGAGCATGAAAACCCTACTGAATTTTTTATGAGCACAAAGCACAAAACAACACAAATTTAGTAAATAATAAGATAATCAGTTGTAATATGAAATAAGGAGAATTATACATAATTTTTTACATTCTTGCCATTATGTACCTCAAATTTACTGAAGGCAGGGATAATCTTCAACGATTTTTTGTTACAACAAAGTGTACCCCGAATGGACAAATAGCAGAAATGAATGCAATTATATGATAAAGGAAATTTTAAAAAAATGCATGAAAGGTAAAGTATTGCCTATCATACCAGGGGTCAAGAACTTCACAAACCTTATTCCAAATTAATATCAAATAAAATACTTAGTTTTCAACCAGCTTAGACAATAATAATCGGCAAGACGTTAATCCTAGATTCGTGTAAAAAATATTCTATTCCCATACAATCTGTATGATAGACAGAAACCAAGACAATTCAACATGTGTTCTTCCATTCTTCAGCCTGTCAATGTTTCTTATATATATATAATTTTTCAAAGGTTTCTCTACGAACTGGTTCGCAAAGGACAATTGAACCCCTGAAAGCGATTGTCGGGAAAATTTCCCTGGTCGTACAATTCGAAGGATGCACATGAGAACGTCTCGGACAGAGAATGTCTCACTAACTACGTATTGTGCCGCGATAATTCCAGCCATTTTTTTTTTAAACCGTCGTGCTCATAATTCATAGGTATACCTTGTTAAGAAAAAAATGGTTGTTCAAGGGTTGTTGGAAACAATGAAAATTAAACCATTGCATATCCCAATACTACAAAAACAATAATGTAAATGTAAACTTCTTTTTATGTTTCAGTGACAGAAACCCAATTGAAGATAATTATCTGTTGACGACAGATAATACATATTTCTAATAAAAGGTGAATGATAATGCTGTGATAACTTAATTTTAACGAATCTGAATATAACGTAATATAATCTTTTGCGATTAGCCTTACAAAGAAAAGTGCCTTAAAATTTTTTTAACAGTATCTTCAGAACTGTCTCAGTATGAATTATAATAAATTAATAAGTAATGTTACGTTCATTATTTTTTGATGTTGTTATATATTATATAGATTTTATATGTGTATACGTTGTATATATGTTACGTGTTTATTATTTTTATTTATATCTAAAACTTGCTTTTTAATTTATGTTTTTCCATATAACAAGTAGGTTATGTTACACTTCCTAGAGACATGAAAGAGATGGTCATGTGATCACACAAATTTTGCATACAGCCCTTCCCTAAAGCCGTGTTGTCCCGGCTGCGTGTTATTTCAAGATGCTGGGAAAAAGATTTTTTTTAAGACAAGAAGCTATATGTCTCAAAGTTGACGACGTTCGAGCAGGTCCTTTTTTTGCCATAATGCATAAGTAGGAATTTTTATTTCTTAGGAGATGTGCAATGTACGATTGCAGTGTGCATAAAAATTCTCACAACAGAAAAGGACTTTGTTTACGCTAAATGTACACTAAGACGAAAATGGTCCTTTCTCTCGTGTGTTAAGACAAAATGCCAAGAAGAAAGCATTTGTTTTGAAAACGTCCACCATCATACTGAATGATCGATGTTCCTCTTGTCACCATCGAATACATATTTTCATGAGACGAATGTCATTGTCATGTTGAAATTTCCAAATGTTTACACGAAGACCTTGGGTTCGCACCGGCGTTTCGTGTCGATTTCGATAAGTAAACAATCGGTGAAATAAACAAGGGAGAAAACTTCGAAGGCCGTGCGGTTTAATTGGCTGATTATTTGGTGACAGGTCCTTAGCAGATATTTACAGAGACAAACCGATAATTGGGCAATCCGTTTTTATCAGACATCAGAAACTTATGAAAGTTATCCAATTGGTAAATAATTAAAATTATCTTATTTAAATTGTAAACTGTTAATTTCAGTAGTAATGCCTTCCATTCAAGATATGCTTCCATTTATATAACTTGAAAACTAGAATCGTTTGAATGATGACACTATGTACTACAGAAATGGGTGTTAATTTGTAATGTTACTTTAGTAAATAATAGTAGTAAATTCAGAAATCATGTCGTAATATTCGTTTTGTTTACAAGTCCTTAGTCTTCAGAGGAAGAAGACTTCTTTAAAAAAAAAGAATGTACGCAATAAAACTTCGGGAAATGTAGTTCATTTTGAAAATTTGGTTCACACGAAGTACAAATACGCAATACCAAGAAGATGGTGTTATACCATATATTACACAGATCATGTAATGAGCCAAATGTGCCAATGGTACTTACATCGTTGTCCTCGAGGTATCCATAGACTTCGAGTTTGTCGAGTCGGATGGTGCCCTGAAAGGGGTAGATGAGGGTGCCCTGTGGGATCCTGGCGTTAGTCCAAACGTTCACCGACATTTCCGGGAGCTTCTTCTTGAGCCGGTTGTGGTTGTCGGGTGCGGCCGTGAGGACGAGGGAGAATTCCTGGGGTATGAGCACGCACGTTTCCATATCGAAAGTCTTGCGGTTCTCCGTTGGTCAAGAGATAAACGCGTCGGCGGTTCACAACATGACAGGGAGGCGATCCCTGGTCCGATCCCTTGCCTGAGGAGAGGACTACTGTTTTCTTACGGCCTAGGACGCCGTCCGGAGGCGTCGACCGGGCGGGGGGAATGGGCGTTCCTGGGTACTTCTTGGCCAATCCTGGCACTTGCTCCGCTTCGACCGCCTATCCGATGCCTCCTTACCCTTCTTCATAAACACGCCTGTTGTCCTACAGACCATCTCGTTATCCTGCCCCTACCTGAAATACCACTCCTCATCCTCTTAACACCCGATTCCGGCTCCTGGTCTTATGTTTATAACTCGGCTCCCGAAGACCATCACCTCCTCCTCCAGCAAGCGTGGAGCTTTTTAAAATGCAAATTAACTGATTTAACTTTAACAAGAATGGACAAAATAAACTATCGATCAAATAGCAACAATAGATAATCTAATAAATCAATTTGAATATTTGTGGAAGAGCACTTCAGTGTATTGAGAGGGTGCAATTTCGGTCCGAGAATGGAAACTACTTGTTGGGCTTAATAAACTTTATGGATCCTCCTATTCTCCTAAAAAAAAGAACTATTATAGCCAGTAACAACAAATACAAAATAGTGATTAATTAACAAACAAAATAAATTCACTTATAAGAAAGGTTCTGTAATGCCGACTGCCACATCAACCAAATAGACACATACAGCAAGGAAGAGTATATAATATTTTTGGTTCCTCATGTTTTCTCTATCTCACATTTTTTTAGTACCCCTATCTTTGATGCTTAACCCTTCCACACGTGACAAAAATGTCCAAAATCAACTAAAATACCCATTCTTGCTATTAAAAAGATCTAATCTAAGTTTGGTGGGTCTCAAGGTACGATATTCTGCTAAGACCTCACGCGATTATCACCTTGAAGCACTCCCTTCATTCACGCCAAAAAATAAATTCATACCATAAAAACTACGCATTCACTGTCCCAAGTTAACTTAATTGGTTCGTCAGATCTGTGTTTCTCGATATTGCACACAGACTGTGTCCGTACCATTAACGCAAATACATTCACCCAATTGTGTTGTCACCAGGGTTTTTGATATTTCAAATATAAAAAACTAAAGTTAAAAAAACAAAACTAAATAACCTAGGACTTTGGTGTGCTTGTCGGTACCCGATATTCTATCACAAACACACCTAAACATAATATGTCGTTTACGCTAATACATTCATTTACTCAAATTAAGGATATTATTTTTATCAATATATTACAAGGCTCCCTATATTCGAAGTATCGAATCAATTTCTTATTATAACCACTAATGTGCTTTAGAAGTTGTTTAAAATAAGCGGTATACTCATATTGCTCGTATAGGAACGTATTTGGCCATTTTTAACTTTTTTAATTTTATTTTTTTAATCCCCCCTTTTATTTAATAAAGGGTTAAAAAAATGCATTATTTACAAAAAAATTACACAAGTAAACGTGAAAATTACACAAGTAAATATGAAAAATATACTAAACGTGAAAAGAAATATGAATGCTGGTTTTGATCAAAATATTGATATAAATCTACAAAACCCTACTGGGCCCCCTCTCTAAAGTTTTTAGAAATAGAATAAATAATGCGTAACTTTAACACAAAAAAAAATTTATACCATTTTTGTTTACTATGTAAAATTAAAGTGAAATTATTATAATTGAAAGAGGTAAGAAAGAAGTTGCGCCTTCTTTTCTCATATGAAGGTTCGTTAAAGTCACTGGGTAAAGAACTGCAATTAGTAATTCTGGTGGTGATTATACTTATAAAAATTTAACCAGCTGCAGCTTTTTAATTTACCGTTTAGCCAATTTAGCTTTTCAGAAATTTACTCAATTGGCATTTAATGATAGCATTAATTATTTCATTTAACTTTTTTCAGCGATCGCCACACCCGTTTGTAAATTGTTTATGTAAATCATCTATACACGCTCACGAAGAATTGCAGCACGCTTAGTACAATGAATAATGCTACATACATTTAAATAATACTACATTTCAATTCTTTAAATTCTAATGCTTGAATAATTTAATTAGTCACGTGGTTTTTTATTAAAAACAACAAGGTACAGCCAATGTGCTTTCAAAGACAAAAAACCGGACCAGAAAGTCATGAGTTTTACTAGAAATTATGTAATTGTAATGATTTGAATGAAACTTCAACAAATCGGAAAATTTAAAATTTATTTGGCAACATGTTAACTACTTAATGACCTACTAAATGCTACCTAGTTAATTCCCACCTAGAAAAGATAAAATTGAACTGATTTGAAAATTGAAGAGATTAAAAACACTCTACAAAAGGTAAAGAATTATTAATGTAGTATTTATGCTTTAAGTCAATTATTAATCGTTATACATATGGAAAAAAATGTCCGGTTTTTGTCTTTGAGTGTATATTATGAATAACTATTTTACTTATATTTACTTCATTTTGTTAAATATTATGTGTAATGTTTATGGTCAAAGATATCAAGAACTATCGTTATCTCGCCCCTGTTACAGAAAGTTGAAAGTCTAACGGATTAGATCATTTAAATTTATTTTTAATAAATGTTATTGTTTAACAGTATGACTTCCAGTTCAATTCCACCGATTACTACAAAATAGAAGAAATAACCGTACAAAATGATAAATATGTTAATAAAAATTGTTTATTATAGGACACAATCGTTCTAACAATATATTTTGTATATTTTATATGGAAATTTTTCTACTTTCAATGTTAACAAAAACAAAGTAGTTAAGTTGTTATTTAATTATTTAATTTTTAAGTAGGCTAGCCCACATACTATTCTATAGGAATTGAAGTCTCTGGTCTAAAAATAAAACTTAAATATTCCTTCTAGTTTAAGATTTCTAGGCCTGATAACAATAATTTTTATGCGATTTCAATCAATTTTTGTATTTATAAATTTCAATAAAGAATAATTATAACGAAATTTCTAGAATGTAAAATTCATGTTTTTATGTTGCAGCTGAAGGAAATCCTTAAATATCTTCCTTTTAGACGATATTTAATTTAAATGATTACAGATAAAAATTTGGTTAAACGGTATGAATATATGAACAAATGATATAATTTATACCTGGATAATATTAAATGTGAACAAGCAAATATCAATTTTAACTGGGCTTAGGAAAAACCTGTCTTGCCGCTTGAAAAATTCAAATTAACATTTCATTTGCTGCAAAATGGCGTAAAAAGCCTATTACTGCATTTCTGATTATTTACTCGGTTTTCCTTTAATTAAGTAAATTTTTGTCCAAACCTGTAGTTGTTAACGATGTGCTCAATTTAGAAGGAAAAGTTTAGTGGAATTTTTTGTATGAAAAAAATCTTTGAGCTAGTATCGGACGTTTGTTCAACGGTCCGCCAATTCCCGCTATTTTTCTGATGTCATGTACGCTTCGGTTCAACGCCAATCTTCAATGGACACCGCAAACTTTTTTGGTAAAATCTCCTCATATTGGAAGAATATTTTCAGGGGAATTGATTTGTGATACGGTTTTCAACTCGGACTACCCAATTCCAAATAAATGATGATTATTGTGCAGTGGTTGCATTGGCCGTGATGATTTGACATATTAAAATCAAATTATCTTAATGTAATGTAAAGAAATACTTATGAATGAATAGCCAAAACAAAGAGTAGGTACCTCTCTCACCGAGCTAAGAATGGTTAAACGGGATTCAAAAAACAAAATTTATAGTTCAATAAAAAAATCTGAATTTTAGTGCTTCTGTCTGTCTTTTCGACTGTCGTTCGCAGATTTATGAATGGCTCGTTTGGTAGGCGTGTTAATTAAAAAAATGCTTCGATTTCCAGATAGGCCCTCTCCGTTATTCATAGAGGCGAGATAGGGATCTCTATATGTATTAGCCGGTATACGTGACCCGGAGATGGCATCAATGAATTCCCCACCTCCGCTCAAATATCGCCGCGCGCAGTAGCCGTTCTTTCCTTTTAGCACCGAGACCGTAAAAATTCAAAAACCCGGTATAATTGGACAACCCTCTCCCCGCCATCTCGATCATGCCCGGGACTCGGCACTGTTATTAGACTTATATTGGTTTTCTACATAAGGTCGGAAAAGTGGAGTTCCACTCCAGTGATTTATAGTTGGCGAGTTGTATAAGGCAAGGAATCTCGCCCTGGTGGGAAAATAAAAACACGTTGCACAGACGTAATTAATATAAACCACTTATCGGGATTTGTAAACAGGACGACACCTGACCTTTTCTCGTTCAAAAATGAAAAGACTGAGAAAATTATATTAAAAATGAATCCAACCGAGAAAGAAGCAAATAAAACAGTTTATTAATCCGTTTACTTTATACGGTAAGAACAATTTATTTTTACGTATTCAAGCAATAATGCTATCAAAATACAGAAGATTTCAGATCAAACATTAAAAAAAAGTGTATATTTTTAATTCTTTGTCGGGGGATGTTATAACTATCAACTCCGGGCAAAACAGGGTTGTGATTAGGGGTAAATTAGGGATAGGAAGCTATAATTAATGTACTTGGAAAAATGACCATAGCGACAAGAACGTCCTAGAACAACAAATAGATTTGTCAATGAATTATTCCGGATGGTCCCACCCTGGAAAAGTGAAGCTTATACTGCACTGAAGGAAGCAAGCAAGAAGAAAAAGTCGGTTGTGCTTTTTCAGCTTATCACACGCCGTTAGGGATAGGAGATGAAAAATACCACTATCAAAAATTTACTTTTCCAAATGTCAGGCAAGTATGCCTCTACGCTTTGGAAAATACCGGGAATCGTGGATTTTTGGTGGAGACCACCAGAGAGAATAAGCGGGAATGTTTACAAAACAAGCTGCGAGGGACGAAAGCATTTGGAAAAACCGGGAATCATGGATTTTTGTGGAGATCATTCGGAAGGAACTGATCATCATCGGAGAAACTGTAGAGATGGTTTTCGATTGGGTCAAAGCTCATATGGGAATAAGCGGGAATGTTGGCAAAGTCGCTGCGAGAGACAAAAGCATTGGAATAATATACAGCAAACCTATACAGAGGCCCTGAA